GCTCGGAGCCCCCGGCTGTCACTCACGGCACGTCAGCTGTGGAAGGGGGCAGGGGCGCCTGTGTTGGCATCACACGGAGGGAAGGTTGGACGCCAACCAAACGCGCTGCTGAGGGAGCGGGGATCCGGGGACATGGCGCCTGCACGGCCAGGAGCCTCCCCGCCGCTCCAGCCTCAGCCTCCATCCGAACGCGTCCCCCGAAGCCGTGACCTCCCTCCGCCCCTCCCGTGTTCACGTCCACGTATGTTCCAGTTCACACGCGATGCACACGTCATCCAAGCAGCTGCGCGTGGGCCAGGGATGCCTGGTCGGTTCCCCAGCTGAGTCGGCGGCGGGGACCTCCCCCAGGAGGAGCGATTCCGAGGCGGCCGGTCGCCACCTGGACCGTGTCTGTGAAACACGACAGTTCTCGTCCCGGAGCGAAGGCTGTAAACGGGTCCCCTCACCACCGCGAGGAAGAAGGCGTCCTGCTGCCGCCCACACGTCAGATGGAAGGTGAAGGTCACCTGGTGGCGGAGGGGTCAGCCAGCTCTCGTCTTAAAGGGGCCGTCACGTGTGACCACTGGCAGGGCTCCCACATGGCCAAGGCCTCCAGCAATCGCTTCATGTCAACAGTGTTGATGGCTTAGCTCTAAAATATTTTAAGAACTTTGATTAAAAATCAGCAAAATCAGCCCTGGCCGGTGTGACTCAGTGGATAGCACATCGGCCTGTGGACTAAAGGGTCCCGGATTCGATTCCTGGTCAGGGCGCAGGCCCGGGTTGTGGGCTTGATTCCCAGTGGGGGGCGTGCAGGAGGCAGCCAATCAATGATTCTCTCTCATCTTTGATGTTTCTCTCTCTCTCCCTCTCCCTTCCTCTCAGAAATCAATAAAAATATGTAATTTTTTTTTTTAATTAGCAAAATCCGGGAGCCAGAGGTAGGCAGGTTTGGATTAACACATGGAGACACACACCTGCGCCTCTGACCGTGGGGCCCCTGTGTGGCCATTTTTCTCAAAATATCACCAGAACCCGGACCCACGAGCGAGGGAGAAGTGGCCTCTGCAGGAACCGCTCCATAAGCGTCTGGAACGTCGAGCCTCCTGATGAGCCGCCGTTTCTCTCTGTGACGAGGCTCTGCGCCCCGAAAGCCCCTCACTCCGCAACGGGCTGTGTCCGGGGTTCAGCAGCTCCGAGCTCCCGAGTCCGTGGTCCGAGGGCATCTCCCCGCCCGGCGTGTCTGACCGTGAGCCTGGGTCCCCGGAAGCAGCGGGGGGAGGGGGGTCTCGCTTTATCTCCAAACTGACAACCTCTGACTTCTAACGGGTGTTCAGCCCCGTTTCGCTGTCATTCCTGATGGGATGGCGTTCACGTCCACCGTCTTCCCAGTTTGTTCTTGTTTCCGTTCTCGTTTCCTTTGTCACCTTTCCTGCCTCTTTGGGTTATTTTTCATGATGCCTTTTGTGGTTGACGTTTCGTTCATAGCTGCTATTATTTCAGCATTTCCATGTGCCTGTTGGGACTTCTTACTGACTTTTTGTTGTTGTTGTTAATCCTCACCCGAGAATATTTTTCCATTGATTTTCTTTTTCTTTTTTTTTGGGGGGGGGGGGGGAGTGGGAGAGAGAAGGACAGAGGGAAACATCGATGTGAGAGAAACACATGGATCCCATACTGCTAATTACACCCACAACATTTTAATTTATTCATTTAAATATTTAAAAATAGTTATTAGAAAGAAAGGGAGAATAAGAGAGAGAGGAAAACATCAAAGATGAGAGCAAATAATTGATTGGCTGCCTCCTGCATGCCCCACACTGAGGATGTTGCCCAAAACCTGGGCATTGCAACCAAGATGCGTGCCCTTGACCGGAATGGAACCCGGGACCCTCTGGTCTGCAGGCCGACGCTCTACCCACTGAGCCACACCGGCTAGGGCTTTTTTTTTTTTTTTCATTCTGGGATTCAAGCATGAACCCAGAGGCCAGGGACTGGAGGAAACCGGAGGCACGTCGCGAGGACGACGCTCACATCCATGTGCCCTGTCGCCAAAGGCCGGGCTCCTCGCAGCAAACACATGTGTGGCCGCCCGACCGCCTCGCTCCTCCCACAGGCCTCTGGGAGCCCCGGTCAGCAACGCCGAGTCCAGTCCTGGAGCAGAGCTCCTGGCAAAACACCTCACGGAGCAGCATCTGCCCAGACGCCGCCTCGTGGGCCAGGCAGGGGGACACGCACCCGTCTGTCCTGAGTCTGCCACGCGAGGCAGACGTCCCTGGGCGATGACCCCTCAGCAGCGCAGGCTCACGCGACCCCTCGCACTCCGTTCAGAGGGGTGAGTCTGTTCTGTGCGGGGAAGAAATTACAGCCCGAGGACGCGGGTCAGCGGGAGGCGGTGGGTCTCCTCGCACGCGGGGACGACGGCTTATCAAGTGGCCGCGGGGCGATGCGAGGAAACGCAGGGCCGTCTGGAACCGCCTCCCGTCCGTGTTTCAGAGATTCTCTGGGCCTCATTCCCTTTGCAATAAGAAGCCTTGTCGACCTTTGTGTAAAAAAAAAAAAAAAAAAAGCATCAACAACAGAACCATCTCCTTAAAGTTCCGTCTGTGCAGATGCTGTGGAAGCACATCCCCGAGGGTTCGTGGGCCTGACCTCGGACGCGCGGACGCGCCTGTGGGCACGCGTGGCCAGTGTTCTGTCACAAAGCAGCGATCGCCGCGTGCTAACGACTAGTGTGCGAGCGGACAGCTGCGGAGGGAAAACGCGGTGGCTGTTACAGGAATTTGACCCTGTTGGTCCTGCTGTGGACGCTCACGTGATCCAGCCTGGCTGCCATGGAAACTGCCAGTCAACGCAGACGGCCATCCCCACCGAGGCAGCGGCCTGAGAGCTGGGCACCGGCCTTGCAGTTCCGGCCACTCCCCCAGCTCCACGCCACATCACCCCCGCTCCCGCCCCTCCGGCCTCTGCACAGCCGGCTCGGTGCTTGGGGAGGGGCGACACGGAGACTGGCACCTGCCAGATCAGCCCGAGTG